AATAAATAAAATATTAAAAATACTAATAAAAAATAAAAATTCATACATATTAATAAAACAAGTACCCAATAGAAAAAGTGGCAAAAACATGACTAAATATTACACAGAAGAAAACATTTAACTTGTTTTCTGTAATCTCAGAAATGCACTTGAAAGCCACAATAATATTTTCATTTCCATGAGACCAGCAAAAAGTAAAAAGCTGGACAATGCCATACACAGAGAGAATGGGAAGTAATGGGAGGCTTCATTCAAAATTAGTGGTGTATAAATCAGAAGTACCATTTGGGAAAAGTTAGACATTATCTAATGAAATTGAACATGCACATACCCTCCTACCGGATCCACCAATTCCACTAACATGCCCAAGTATCATATATATGCACTTGAGGATGAACAAGAACATTTATGGCAGCACTAACTATAATAGCCCCATGTTGGAAATAACCATTATGTTCATAAAGAATAAAACAACTAAGTATATAATCCATTTATAATATGTTCTTAGAGTAGACCATCGTACTACAATGAAAATTGATGAATTGTAGCAGTGGTTCCCAAAGTGGTGATGGTACTTGGGTGGGTTTTCTGATCTCTATTGAAATGTGTCATCATCTGAGAGATCTACAGAACTCAAAGAACTAGTATCTACCATATGACCAATGTATGGATCAAAGATCCCTTCAAAATGCAAGACAGACCAATGTGTTTTCATGTCACAGAGTAAGAAGTTCACTGACATGGCTTCAAATTTTACACTGCAGCTAACCTTTAAAGAAACTGTTTTTTTTTTTTTTTAATAGACATATAATATATTTTTAGCCCCAGGGGTACAGGTCTGTGAATCGCCAGGTTTACACACTTCACAGCACTCACCATAGCACATACCCTCCGCAAAGTCCATAACCCCAGCCCCCTTCTCCCAACCCCCCTCCCCCCAGCAACCCTCAGTTTGTTTTGTGAGATTAAGAGTCACTCATGGTTTGTCTCCCTCCCAATCCCGTCTTGTTTCTTTCATTTATTCTTCTCCTACCCCCTTAACCCCCCATGTTGCAGCTCCACTTCCTCATATCAGGGAGATCATATGATAATTGTCTTTCTGATTGACTTATTTCGCTAAGCATGATACCCTCTAGTTCCATCTGTTAGTTTTATTTTTATCTGATATTCGCTGAAACCTATCTTATAAGTTTATGAAAACATGCCTCCCTTTTCTAAATACACAGATGAGTCTGGATTTTCTTCATATACTTTCAACCATAACAATATATTGCAACAGACTGAATGCAGAAGCAGACATGAAACTGAATCTTTAAAAATTTTTGTGAAAACAGGGGCTCCTGGGTGGCTCAGTGTAGGTTAAGCGTCTGCCTTCAGCTCAGGTCATAGGCTCAGGGTCCTGGGATCAAGCCCTGCATTGGGCTCCCTGTTCAGTGAGGAGTCTGCTTATCCCTCTCCCCCGTCTCTTCCCCTGCCTCTGCTCCCCCTCTTTCTCCTTCACTCTCTCTCTCAAATAAAATCTTTATTTAAGGGCACCTGGGTGGCTCAGTGGGTTGGGCCTCTGCCTTTGGCTCAGGTCATGATCTCAGGGTTCTGGGATGGAGGCCCCCATTGGGCTCTCTGCTCAGTGGGGAGCCTGCTTCCCCCAAGCCCCGCCCCGCCTGCTTCTCTGCCTACCTGTGACCTCTCTCTCTCTCAAATAAATAGAATCTTTAAAAAAAAAAATTGTGAAAATGGGGCACCTGGGTGGCTCAGTGGGTTAAGCCTCTGCCTTCGGCTCAGGTCATGATCTTGGGGTCCTGGGATCGAGCCCTGCATTGGGCTCTCTACTCAGCAGGGAGCCTGCTTCCTCCCCGCCCCACCTGCCTCTCTGCTTGTCATCTCTGTCAAATAAATAAATAAAATCTTTAAAAAACATATATTTGTGAAAATGTTAAAACAATGCCACTCGTCACTAATTTTTTTGGAAAAGTCTTTTCATTAAAATGTTATTTATATTAAGATGTAACAGGTGTGTCTTTTTTTTTTTAAGATTTTATTTATTTGTCAGAGAGAGAGGGAGAGCGAGCGAGCACAGGCAGACAGAATGGCAGGCAGAGGGAGAAGCAGGCTCGCCGCCGAGCACGGAGCCCGATGTGGGACTCGATCCCAGGACGCCGGGATCATGACCTGAGCGGAAGGCAGCTGCTTAACCAACTGAGCCACCCAGGTGTCCCAACAGGTGTGTCATTTTTTAAGAGGTACCAGTAAATACACCAATACATGCCATATCTACCATATTTAAGATCAATCAGTTTTAGTATCTAATGATATAACCAACATAAATGAAAGATCTTTAGGGTTCTCAATGGTTTTTAAAATCATAAAAGGAGTCATAAGACCAAAAAGCTTCTGAACTGCTGAACTACAGACATATGCTTCAGCAATGATGAATCCAAAAACACAATGTTTACGAAATTCACAGATAAAGCTCAAAAACAGGGGAAAGAAAACAAACAGCTTGATTTAAAAAAATATATGTGAAAAAACTGTACAGAAAGGCCAGGGAATAATTAACACAAAATTGAGGATGACCAGTGTGACGGCAGCAGCAATACACTGCTTCTGGGGAGAGGTACACACCAGAGCTTCTAAGGCACTTAGATATCCTTTTAAGCTAGGTACACAGATATACTTAAAACAAACAAACAAAAAACTGGTACATATAAATGGTATACTTCACAACAAAAATTTTAATAGAAGAAACAAAGGGACATACCTATTATCCTAGAAGGAAAAACTCAAAGAATGCCTCTTCTCAAATTAATCTATAAATTCAATGCAATCACAAACAATATCCCAACAAGATTTTCTACAGAACTTGGAAAGATGGTTCTAAACATCATCTGGAAGAAAAATGCAAAGAACGCCCAAAGCTTTTTTCAAAAGAAAGCAGCAAGATATATTACAAAAGTACAATAATTAAAATGGTGTGGTAATAGGTAAATGGGTCAAAAGAGAGTTCACAATGCAATTTAAAAGAAAAGGATGTGACCCAGTCAAGATATTTTTTATCACCCAAAGAAGATAAAAATTAAAATGAGAAGTTACTTCCAGTTATTAGAAAAATTAGTAAGATGTTAAAGAAATACTGTTATCATTCGTGCTGGCTAGCAGAGAGATAAGGCATACCTTTTGAGAGTGGATTTTATTAAAGGGTAGGATATTTGAGATGAATTCCACAGCATTATTCTCCAGCATTCTCATAGGGAATCAACTCTACAGAAATACTATCATTGTTAGTTACAGAGAAAAACTTGACAATAAATATCCAGCAAAAATTAAAGACTGGTTTGGTAAAGATACCATACCTACTTTATTATACTAAGCAGATATCAAAACTACATTCGTTAGAGGCGCCTGGGTGGCTCAGTGGGTTAAAGCCTCTGCCTTGGGCTCAGGTCATAGTCCCAGGGTCCTGGGATTGAGCCCCACATCGGGCTCTCAGCTCGATGGGGAGCCTGCTTCCCCCCCCCACCCCAGCTCACTCTGCCTGCCTCTCTGCCTGCCTGTGATCTCTGTCTGTCAAATAAGTAAAATCTTTAATAAAAACAAAACACAACACAACTACACTTGTTAAACACTATGTCTCAGGCAACTTTTTAGGCACTTTGGGGATTTTAATTCATGTAAGCATCTATGTTTGGAGCACAGGAGATGCTCCTAATAGAGTTCTTTTCAAAGAGAACTGATTACATTCGGGTCAACGTCCTGAAACCCCCAAATTTCAAACGCTGTTCTCGGTCTTTCTTGGGAGAATTATGGACAGCTGTCACTTTTTCCTTCTCTCCACCGTGGGCTCGTGACCGCTGTGCCGAACACATCGCGGGGCGCTCTCAGCCCTGGAAGGCAGCTTTTCAACACAAAACATTCTCAGGCCGTTCAAGAGTGTCTGCTTGGTCATAAACTCCGGGGCAGGCTGACGACCAACCTCAGAGCCTGTGCATTCGCGCGTCACGCCCTTTTCCCAAGCAGAGCTTCCTCAGGGGAACACCGCGGGCGGCCACCACCAGTCACTACGGCAACGTACAGTCGCTCAACACTGAAGCCCACCGCGTCCCCCAAGACCCGCCGTCCCGCCTTCCCGGGGAAAGACGCGTGGGACAGGTGCGCCTAAATTTCTGGGCTTCGAACCGACAAGCACTAAGTGAAACCAGAGGGTTTCCCAAGTGTCTGCCTCGAGGTCTGAGGTTAACCTGCCACGCTCCTCTACCACGTGCTGCTTGGTGGCACTTCGGCCAGACCGCGGGAGGGCACGGACCACCGGAACGACGGCCCCCCGTGCACTCCTTGGCCTTTCTGCTACACGACCCCCGCCCCCGGGACAGACCCTTCCTTCCTTCTAGAACGACTCTGAAAGAAAACGGTCCCGCGCCGCCGCAGGTCCACGACCGCGCCAGCCCCGAGACGCGGACTTCCAGGGCAGCCTTGACCTCACGGCCGGTCCACAGCGCACGGTCCACAGCGCACCGACACAGCCCGACTACGCGCCTGCCGCGGCGCGCACGGGGACGACAGTCCTCCGACGGGCGACTCGGCCGCACGGCTTCGGCGGTCTGGACGCCCTGGCTCCAGGGGAAGGACGGGTTCCCGCCGCGCGAAATTCGGACGTCGCAGAGTCAAGCCCGGGTGGGAGCGTGAGCGACACCGGGAACCGCCACGGGCTGTGACGAAGTCCGGCTCATCCCGTCCGCCGCTCCGCCAAGACCGCGCTGAAAGCCGACGCCCACTCCCGCCCCGTCACCCCGAGAACAGCGCGAACCGGCCAGACAGCAGCACCAAGGAAAGCACGCCGCGTCCCTCGCAACTTGGACGGCTCTGTGCAAGGCAGAGGCGAGGCCCGCGGCCGACGACCACCGAGGCCCACGCGGCTAGCGGAGCACTGCGCCCTGCAGGTGGGAGCCGCTGCGCCCCCCCCGCCCAGTGCACCAGCAGCAGCGGCCCCGGCGGCGAAGGCTTACCTGCCCCCCGCGCGGCCGCCGCCCCCGAGGATCTGACGTCGCTGCCCAGTCTCTTCCCCATGCTCCCGGCGTCCGCGTCTCCACGCGTGCACTTCCCCTCTCGGTCCCCCGCGGCCAAACGTGACAGGCGCGTCCGCGCTCCAGCAGGCACCGGCCGCGCTCCGCCTGCTCCCCGACCCGGAGCGACTCTCCGACCGCGGGAGAGTCTCGGCGCTGTCTGCACCGGCGCTTCAGGGGCGCGCAGGACCCTCCACGTCGCAGCCCGGGCTTCCCCTCAGCCCCAGAGACGGCAGAGCCGGCAGCGCGGCCCCGGGAGCGCCTGGCTGCCCCGAGACGCCGGCGCGCGGTACGCGGGCCTGGCGCCCAGGCTCCCAGACCGCAGGCACCTCCGCGCTCGTCAGCCAGACGTCGTTCTTCTCCCGCACGGTCCTAGGAAGGAACGCTCCCCGAGACGCGCCGCCGCCTGAGAGAACATTCCGATTATCCGAGACACAGCTGCAGAAAACCGGAAGTGAAACCTCTGGCCTCGGGAAAAGGAGTGGGGGGAGAGGGGGAGGAAAAAAAAAAGAGAAAGTGAAAACTAAACCGTGGCGAACGGCGGGAGCCAATCACTGAGGAGAAGCCAATGCGCAGGCGCGGACTGCAGCCGGCGTCCACGCGGCGCTCGCCTCTCTCCGGTGCGCAGGCGCGAGGCTGCAGCTCGCCCTGGGATTGGAGGACCGAGTCTGAGCTGAGGGCGGGACGAAGCAGGGCCTGGTGTCTCCAGGAGTTGGTGCGTGGCCGGAGGCGGAAGACGTAGAGGAGAAAATCTGTAGTCGCCGTGACGAGTTTGCGTGGGTTCCAGCAGCTGGTTCCCTGGGGGCTGTGGTGTTTGGCCCCTATTTTGTCTCCTAAGGGTGCAGTGATGAGCATTGTCTTGACCCAAAGTGACATTAGTAAAATCTTTTAATTTAGTAATTCAAGAATAACCTTGAAAGAGCGTTAACCTTAAAAATAGATGGGACTAGAGATTATGCTGAAGTAAATCAAGCAACGAAAGTCAATTATATAGTTTCACTTACTTGTGGAGCACAAGGAATAACACGGAGGACATTAGGAGAAGGAAAGGAAAAGGGAGTTGGGGGAAATCGGAGGGGGAGACGAACCATGAGGGGCTGCGGACTCTGAGAAACAAACTGAGGGTTTTGGAGTGAAGAGGAGTGGAGGGCTGGGTGAGCCTGGAGGTGGGTATTAAGGAGGGCACCTGTTGCGTGGAGCACTGGGTGTGGTGCATAAACAATGAATCTTGGAACTCTGAAAAAAATATTAAATAAAAAAAAAATAGAAATGTCGGTAATGTTACCAGACTTGCTTATAAACAGAGGAACTGTAGTCCCGGGTATGCAGAGTATATTGAGCCACAGGTGAACCCAAAGGAAAAAGGGGGAAGTTAGAAGAGGTTGTTGTGACAGTTGATTGGAGGAGAGCCAGAGTTGAGGGTTGTGGTGGCTTCTCATTGGCTAAGTTGTGGCACTTTCTCATTGGCTGGGTTGTTGCCAGCAAGGAGAAAATCATTCTGGTGGGGTAAGCTAGCTTCCAAGAGTGGTGCTTACTGAGCACCCTTCGTTGCTTCTTGACTCCATTTTGAATTTGGTTTCTTTCCATTTTGACACATGAAATGTTTAAGTGCTCATTCCCTATAGGAAAACAGCTCTAGAACTTTATTATCCGTGCAGAGAGCTAAGGGACCACATACGGCGTTAATTCTACAAATGAGAGAGATTAAGTACTGCAGACACTTCCATGAACCAGGCATATACTACATGCTGGAGATAGGGGTTTATTAATTCAGTAGCAGCCTTTACTGTTTACTCTGGCCAGCTACCAAGTAAGCACTAGGATTACAGTTGTGAACAAGCCAGACAAGCACCCGGCACATAACAGAACTTACTCTAGAAGTAGGTAACAATTAACAAGTAAACCACCGCAACAAAAATAGGATTTCATTTAACAGTACACCTGTGAAAGCAAGCTGAAAATGCTGGAGAATGGGGTTGGAGGCTGGAGGCCAGGAGCAGAAGAGACAGAGCTGCCAGATCTCACTGCATATGGGACATTTGAAGTCAAACCTCAGGAGTAAAAGCAGACCAAACCACTCCTCTGAAGATGTGGAGGAAGAGCTTTCCAAGCAAAGCTTGTGCAAAGTGCAAGTGCAGTCACTAGAAGTGAAACTAGGGTGTGTTCAAAAACTGAAGAGGGTTGGGTGTAGAAACTAAACAATACAACTTATAAGTACACAAAACCAAAATGTACAACTCCCTGATTTATCACAAAGCAAATATTCGTGAAATGACCACCATGGTCAAAAAATAGAACTTTGCCAAAACTCCAGAAGTTCCATCTTGTATCAACTCCAATCATCCCTACCATGATACCTAACCACAAATCTAACTTCCATGGTAATCTCTACCTTACCTTTCATATTACGTTTGTTGCCTAAACGTACATACCTAAACTTCAATATTTAGTTTTGCCTGTGGTTTGAACTTCATATAAATTGAATATGTTGTACCTAGTTTCTTTGGAGAAACATTGTTAGTAAGACATGTTTTCACGGGTACTTATTCTTTTGTTTTCGTTGCTATATATGTAGATGTAGCTGTAGCACATCTTTTTTTTTTTTTTAAGATTTTATTTATTTATTTGACAGACAGAGATCACAAATAGGCAGAGAGGCAGGCAGAGAGAGAGGAAGGGAAGCAGGCTCCCTGCTGAGCAGAGAGTCCAACTCGGGGCTTGATCCCAGGACCCTGGGATCATGGCCTGAGCTGAAGGCATAGGCTTTAACCCAGTGAGCCACCCACGTTTCCCCACATTTTCTTTATCCATTTTACTGTGGGTGTTTTGTTTTTGTTTTTATTTATTTATTTATTTATTTATTTATTTATTTTTTAATGTAGGTACCATGCCCAACATGGGCCTTGAACTCATGACCCTGAGATTAAGAATTGCGTGATCAGGGTGCCTGGGTAGCTCAATTGGGTAAGTGTCTTGTCTGCCTTTGGCTCAGGTCAGTCCCAGGGTCCTGGGATCAAGCCCTGTGTTGGGCTCCATGCTCAGCAGAGAGTCTCTTTCTCCCTCTCCCTTTGCTCCTCCCCCCACAAATGAATAAATAAAATCTTAAAAAAAAAAAAAAAAAAAAGACGGGGTGCCTGGGTGGCTCAGTGAGTTAAGCCTCTGCCTTCGGTTCAGGTTGTAATCTCAGGGTCCTGGGATCAAGCCCCACGTTGGCTGGGGTGGGGGGGGGGGTCTCTGCTCAGCAGGGAGCCTGCTTCCCCCTCTCTGCCTGCTGCTCTGCCTCCTTGTGATCTCTGTCAAATAAATAAAATCTTAAAAAAAATTAAAAAAAAAAAAAGAGTTGCATGCTCTACGAACTGAGCCAGCCAGGCACCTGTCCATTGTACTGTTGATAGACATTTGGATTGTTGCCAGTTCTTGGCTACTATGAAAATTCTACCCAAAGAGTACACGTGTGCATCATTTCTGTTGGGTGTATACCACACTGGATATGATCATTTGGAATTGTTTCAGCAAGTATTCATTCTCTCCCCCTTCTGCTGTTGACCAAATTTACTTCTCTACTCCTTTGATACTGCTCTTGGCCATGTGAATATTTTTGGCTGATAGAATTTAGCAGACATGATAGGAGCAGTAATCTTAAGTATTCATATGTAGTTCATTTAACTCTTGAGTTCCAGTAATGTACACAAGGAGACTGTGTCTCCAATAGCTATGCCCCTTCAGCCTGGGCCTACAGAACAAACCTGTGGAGCAGATGTGAATCCAACCTGTGGCATAAACCCACCTTAGATTTACAGAATGTTAGACCTCCTGCAGACTGATGAGCATGAGAATTAATGCTGTTGTCCTAAGCTACTGAATTTGAGGTGGTTTATTATGCAGCATTATTGTGGCAATAAAAAAGACCTAAGTTCAACTTCAGTAGATAATATCAAATTTTTGCAAATTGGTTTTACCAAGTTACGTTCCCACAAGCAACATATGAGGAGTCTAGTTGCCCTACATTTTTGGCAACACTTTTAGTTACTCTGGAGGGTGTGGTATGGCTTCAATTTGCATGACCTCCAAGTTTGTTCTTTTTCATATATGTTTTGGATATTCTAAGTCTTCTGAATTTTCACATAAATTTTAGAATTAATTTATTTTCTGTCTAAAAAAATGCTACAGTTTGGTTTGGGCTTGTGTTGAAAATATAGATCAATTTAGGGAGAATTACCATCTTAATATTCCATCTTCAGATTCATGAACATGATATCTCTACTTAAGTCTTTTAAAATTTCTCTAGGCAATATTTAACGCTTAAAATGTACAGGTGTTATGCACATTGTCATATTTATCTCTTTACATTTTTTATTGCATTTAAAAATACATTACAATGACTTGTTGCTGATACATAGAAATACAATTGATATTTCTATATTAGCTTTTTACCTGCAACTTGCTGAACTCACTTATTAGATCTGATAGCTATTAGTGTGTATATGTATATTTTTTAAATTTTCTAAGACCTACATACTGACTGCAAATAATAATACTTTTCTTTGTTTCCAATCTGTAATATCCTTGTTACATTAAGGCCTCTAATGCAATGAGGAATAGAAGAGATAAGAACAAACATCTTTATATATCACTGATCTTAGAGGAAAGGCATTCAGTTTTTGGCCATTAAGCATAATGTTGGCTTTGATGTTTTATATCCTTCTTTAGGTTGAGAATTTTCCCTTTTATTCCTAGCTTTTGAGAGCTTTTATTATAAATAAGTGCTGAATTTTGTCTGCCTCTGTTGGAGATTATATAGTTTTCTTTTTTAGTCCATTAATTTGGTGAATTACAGTAATTGATTTTCAAATGTTAAGCCAACCTTGAATTCCTGGGATAAACCCAATTTAAATTAGGATGCATCATTCTCTTTATATATTACTGGACATGATTTGCAGATATTTTGTTAAGAATTTTGGCATTTACATTCATGAGGGATATTGGTCCATAGATTTTACTTTTCTTGTAATATCTTAGTTTTGTTTTTGAGTGACTCTAGCCTCATAGAATTACTTGATAAGTATCCCTT